CCCTTACCCTACCTCCCCCTCCCCCTCCCTCTCCGAAGGCTATTTCCATTTAAATCCTCCGTCACATTCATACGGCGCAATGATACAACTATTTTAACTCTCCGGAATGCGCGAGGTATCACGCCGCATTTGAAGGCGTTTTCAAAGCAGCCAAGTTCCGATACCCGGATTATCGTTTTGCATAGTTCATATTCTTTGGTTATATTCCGTGCCACTTGTTTAATTATAATCCTCGTAGAAAAACCACCAATTTGCTAAATACAATTCTAGCTGGAGCGCACTTCAGCTATGCATTCACTACTGAAAAAATGTCAAAAGAAATCGACAAGCCCAGCGTGCATGGGGGCTATTTCCATTGAAATCTTCCGTCACATTCTTACGGCGCAAGGATACAACTATTTGAACTCTCCGGAATGCGTGAGGTATCACGCCGCATTTGAAGGCGTTTTCAAAAAAGCCAAGTTCCGATACCCGGATTATCGTTTTGCATGGTTTATATTCTTTTGTTATACTCCGTGCCACTTGTTTAATTATAATCCTCGTAGAAAAGCAACCCATTTGCTAAATACAGTTCTAGCTGGAGCGCACTTCAGCTATGCATTCACCACTGCAAAAATGTCAAAGGAAATCGACAAGCACAGCGTGCATGAAGGCGGACCCGGCAGCCGGCACATGGCGGGGATACTGGGTCCCTGGTACCGCGGCCCGGGCCCCGGAGGGGGCCCGTGTTACCCGTGAAAAACCACTACGAATTCACATGCAACCCTTGTTTCGTACGAAAAAGTGAAAAATTTAGCCTAAAAATTTCGCACAAAGTGAATAGATTTTCAGAAACACGCTGGAGCACTATAGAATTCTTCTTAAATTTTCAAAGATTTATACTCCTTGGAAAATTTATATCTATTTACAAGATTTTCAGTACGGAGGGATATTTTTAGTAACTGCATTTCATTTTCTTCCGTCGTCAAATGCTAGAGTCTCCAGTCTGGGCATCCTCGACTTCAATGGCTCATGGCTCAACTCCCTTGCCATAGACAAACGAAGGGGGAGTCCAGGGGGGCCTGGCCCTCATAGAACTGAAAATAGTANAAAAAAAAAAAAAAAAAAAAAAAAAAAAAAAAAAAAAAAAAATACCAGATGTTTTGAATGCAACAATTCGCAAGTATTTTGTGCTGAAAGTAGAAAAAAAAACATAACTACTCTGCAGAATTTGATGGAAAAATTCTTCATGGAAGCTTCAAAATGCGTCCGATTAGTCGTTTAAATTCTAAAATTTCTCGAGGGATGCCCCTCGGACCCCCCTTCCTCCGTGCTTGGGGTCGGACCTTAAAACTGGTACCAGACCCGAGATGGGATGTGGCGGGCCTGCCTCTCCCTCCTCTCCCAGCTACAAGGACTGGTGGTTCTCCCAACGAGGAAACCTGACCGTTCCCCCGCGGACATCCGATTCCCATCGATCATTTCAAAATGAGAATCAGTCTTAATTTTCAAACTCTCTTCATTCTATTTGAGGAAAGAAATGATTTTTGAAGAATCCTCTAGCCATTCGAAGGCTATGGATTCCGGCAAATGCATCAGCTATGAGGGAATAGTTGCATTGCTTGACGACTGCGACTGTTGTCAGATCAACGCGACGGCGGCGCGGGGAGATTGAGAGCCGCGGGGGGGGGGGGGTCTTGAGCCCCTACAACTCAAGTGTACGTGTCAAGATGCAAGTATTTCACCGAGTTGTTAACACTAGCTGCTGCTCCTAGCCCCAGCTGCTCTCCACTCAACTTGTCAACAAAACTGAAAACCCCACTCGCAACATCTACCGTCAATTCGCATGTCGACGCAAAAATCCTCAAACCCACTTATCTCGATTGCTTTGTTTCAAAATTCCCGATTCTATTTCATTCTTTTTACCAACACTATTCCTTCAAATTTTTACGAATAATCATCTCTCAGAGATGAAAACCAGGCCAGTTTTCAAGAATCAATGTAGGATATTCTCCCGTTGAAAAATTAAAGTATGACAAGACAGTTGTACACCATCCAGCTTCTTGAATATCTTTTAACTTCTATCTCTCATTGTTGAGAAGCTCATATTGGAGGCACAACACCAAGGAAAAAAATAAAAGAAAAAGGGGGTTGTCTGCTTAATATGCAACCTATCTTTAGAGGAGCGCGAACGGTCACCTATCTGAAAATACGCATCTACAACGCACCTCATAAGTTTTGATGGAACCGATTAACGATGTTGTTAACTTATTGACACATAACGTCCAGCTAAATTTGCCATTTATTTTTCTGCACAGACAACAAACCTATACCGCGAACCTATTAATCTCGCTCTCTAAACATTGATATACGCTACGCGAACCCATGCTGGATATCCATAAGGTCCGCCTTCAATTTTCTCGCATAGGCAAAAAACGTACCGGACAGCGCGAATAGTTATATATCCAAAAAACGCCCATTAATCTCTCTCGAGTAACTACGATAAGAACCAATGGACCATGCGTAAACCTCTTGACAGATAACGCAAGTATGAGAGTTTTCCTTCAATTTTACCACGTAGACAACAAATATGTCAGGTAGGTAGCGCGAATATAGTTGTCAACTTTTCGATGAGCACACAATCATAAAACTCTATGAGCTTTGATTGAGCCGAGAAAGGACTTTGTAAACCTATCAGGCCCGCCACAAGGGGGGGATACTGGGTCCCTGGTACCGCGGCCCGGGCCCCGGAGGGGGCCCGTGTTACCCGTGAAAAACCACTACGAATTCACAAGCAACCCTTGTTTCGTAAGTAAAAGTGAAAAATTTACCCTAAAAATTTCGCAAAAGGTGGATAGATTTTCGGAAACACGCTGGGGAACTATAGAATTCTTCTTTAATTTTCAAAGAAGTATACTTCTTGGAAAATGTCTATCTATTTTCAAGATTTTCAGTACGGAGGAATATTTTTAGTAACTGCGTTTCATTTTCCTCCGTCGTCAGATGCTAAGAGTCTGCAGTCTGGGCATCCTCCACTTCAATGGTTCATGGCTCAACTCCCTTGCCGTAGACAAACGAAGGGGGAGTCCAGGGGGGCCTGGCCCTCATAGAACTGAAAATAGTATCATATGCCCCCCCCCCCAAAAAAAAAGAAAGAAAAAAATTCCAGATGTTTTGAATGCAACACTTCGCAAGTATTTTGTGCTGAAAGTAAAAAAAAAATAATAATTATTCCGCAGAATTTGATGGAAAAATTCTTCATGGAAGCTTCAAAATGCGTCCGATTAGTCGTTTAAATTCTAAAATTTCTCGGGGGATGCCCCTCGGACCCCCCCCCCTCCAGGCTTGGGGCCCGGACCTTAAAACTGGTACAAGGGCCCGAGATGGGATGTGGCGAACCTGCATGAAGGCCATTTCCATTTAAATCCTCCGTCACATTCATACGGCGCAATGATACAACTATTTGAACTCTCCGGAATGCGTGAGGTATCACGCCGCATTTGAAGGCGTTTTCAAAACAGCCAAGTTCCGATACCCGGATTATCGTTTTGCATGGTTTATATTCTTTTGTTATACGCCGTGCCACTTGTTTAATTATAATCCTCGTAGAAAAACCACCCACTTGTTAAATACAATTCTAGCTGGAGCGCACTTCAACTATGCATTCACCACTGCAAAAATGTCAAAGAAAATCGACAAGCACAGCGTGCATGAAGGCGGTCCCGGCAGCCGGCACATGCACGGAAAAAAATAGGTTGTCTCTAACAGCTAATGCGGTATGGTTGAAAAGTAAAAAGCCGTGAGAACCAACAAAAATAGTTGGATTCACCAGCCACGTTGACCGATGTGACCATGCACGAATCCAATTTACCTATACGCCTAAATTAAATCCGACTGTTGCATCTTTTAGTGGTGCAACCAGCAATGCATGTTATCATACCCTCACAAGTAGGCCAAGCCAGCAAGAATGTTACGGCGGATGTCGCTGTGGCTGAGATGGACGGATTAACCATCTTGACAAAGCTGAACTGGCCATCACAAAGGCGACCCAACCATCAGGTACAGTCAGCGCGGTGAGAGTTTCCGCCTGGCTGAGCTGCGGTCCGCCATTTTTCCTTTGTCAATGTCACTCAGTTACAAG